AAAGAATTATGCTTACCTTATATAAGGCACTTGAAAAATATTTGTTGGGTGACTTGAGGCTTTGTTCCATATTCTTCTGTTACAGGCGTAGGATGAGGAAAGTTATTTTGCCAGTTACCTTTGTTGGGAAAACATCTTGATGAGCATCTATTCATGGAATGTATGGCTCTGCAAAAATGGGTTGAAAGAAAAAGACAAAGACAAAGTTATAGTACCTTCAAATGAATAGTAATTACAGGTTTAAGGGAGGAAAACGAAGAGGATGGGGGATGAGTGTAGAGAGAGGTTCAGATAATAAGGCAGAAGAAGTCTAAATTATGAGTAGATAGAAATGACTGGTATTTTTAATAGAATAGGAGTATTTCATATTTATATTGTAATAATTTGGCAATATAAGCCTTCTCCCATTAACCCCTGAATCTCTGGCACACAGTTCTGTGATGTCAGTGGCAGTATTTTATTGGGGGAAATCAAGAAAAGCCAGGTCTCATGTTTGAGTCAAAACCAAGACGGTGATAAAGGAGGAGTTTGTACATGGAGAATGAGTATTCAACAGAAATCAAAATGAAGCCAGTAGTTACAAGGAGCCACTGGATTGCTCACTGGAAGTAGGAAGAGGAGTTAAGTAGACCTTATCTAGCTCTCAACCCTGAGTTACAGAAACAACTCAGTGCTAAATCTTTGTAGCTAATTCCTTATATGATGTCCATGATTTACTTAGGGTAAATTTTTAAAACTGGCATTGCTGGATCAAAGTGTGTTGGCTTTTGATATTTTTAAGACTTTTGATATGTGATCATAGTGCCTTCCATAAAAATGGTTCCAATTTAAAATCTGAAATGTTTTATAAAAGCAAGAGTTATTAAAAGAAACCTCAAGGGCATCTGGGTGGTATGGTTGGTTGAGTGTCTGAGTCTTGATTTCAGCTGAGGTCATGATGTCAGGGTCATTAGATCCAGCCGTGTGCTCAGTAGGGAGTCAGCTTGAAATTCTCTCTCTCCCTGTGCCCCTGTCATCCACGCTCTCTCTCTCTCTCTCTCTCTCTCTCTTTAAAACAGTAAATCTGTTTTAAAAAAGATTGAAATCTCAATATTATAGACCTACTAGGCTGGCTGTAATAAAAAAGATGGAAAATAAGTGTTGATGAGGGCGTGGGATAATCAGAATGCTCATCTGTTGTGGATGAGAATGTAAAATGGTATAGCTGCTTTGGAAGATAGTTTGGCAGTTCCTCAAAAAGCTAAACATAGAGTTACCATATGACCCCAGCAATCCCATTCTAAATTATATACCCAAGAGGGATAAAAACATATATCCACATACTGATACATAAATGTTCATAACAGCATTATTTATAGTAGCTAAAATGTAGAAACAAAACAAATGTGCCCAATAACTGATGAATGAACAAATAAAATGTGGTATATCTATACAATGGATTATTATTTGGCAGTGAAAGTACTGGTACATATTATAACATGAATGAACCTTGAAAACATTACCCAAGTAAAAGAAACCAGTTACAAAGCCTTCACATTGTGTGATTACATCTGAGATTCAAAACAAGCTTGATGTGATGAACACAGGCTGGAAGAAGTATAGGAAGGAATAAGTGATATAGAAGATAAAATAATGGAAAATAATAAACCTGAATGAAAGAGAGAATTATGGAACATGAAAGTAGACTTAGGGAACCCAGTGACTCCATCAAATGTAATAACATTCTCATTATAGGAATCCCAGAATACAAAAGAGGGAGAAAAGCGGGCAGAAAATTTATTTGGGGAAATAATGGCTGGAAACTTACCTAACTTGGGGAAGAAGAAACACATATCCAGATCCAGCAGGCACAGAGAACGCCCATCAAAATCAATAAAAGCAGGACAACACGAAGCCATGTTGTAATTAAATTTACAAAATAGAGCAATAAAGAGAAAAATTGTAAAAGCAACAAGACAAAAGAAGTCCCTAACATACAAGAGAAGACCCGTAAGTCTAGCTACAGTTGTCTCAACAGAAACGTGGCAAGCTAGATGCAAGTGGCATGATATATTTAAACTGCTGAATTGGAAACATCTGCAGCCAGGAATACTCTATCCAGCAACATTATTATTCAGAATAGAAGGAGAGAAAGAATTTTCCAAACAAAAACTAAAGGAGTTCATGACCACTAAACCAGTCCTGCATGAAATGTCAAAGGGGACTCTGATTGGAAAGGAGAGACCAAAATTGTAAAGACAAGAAAGGAGCCGAGAAAATGTCCAAAAACAATGACAAAACAGGTAATAAAATGGCACTATATACATACCTATCAATAATTACTCTGAATGTAAATGGACTAAACACTCTGATCAAAAGACCTAGATGTCAGAATGGATTAAAAAAACCAAGACCCAGGACACCTGGGTGGCTCAGTGGGTTAAAGCCTCTGCCTTCGGCTCAGGTCATGATCCCAGGGTCCTGGGATGGGTCGGGCTCTCTGCTCAGCAGGGAGCCTGCTTCCTCCTCTCTCTCTGCCTGCCTCTCTGCCTACTTGTGATCTCTGTCAAATAAATAAATAAAATCTTAAAAAAAAAAAAAAAACCAAGACCCATCTATATGCTGCCTACAAGAGACTCATTTTAGATCTAAAGATACCTGCAGAGTGAAAGGATAGAGAAACATTTATCATGCAAATGGACTTAAAGCTGGAGTAGCAATACTTACATGGGAAAAACTAGACTTTAAACCAAAGAGTGTAATAGATGAAGATATATATTAAAGAGGTCAATCTAAATAAATAAATAAATATAAAATAAATATAAAAAATACATAAATATTTATGCACCCAAGATGGGCACATCCAAATATATGAAATAATAACAAACATAAAGGAACTCATTAATAATAATATAATAATAGGGGACTTTACTTACCACCCCAATTACATCATTGTACAGATCATCATCTAAGCAGACAATCAGTAAGGAAACAATGGCATTGTATGACACGCTGGACCAGATGGTGGTGAACATAGATGCAATAACCCTTAGGAAATTAGGGTTAGAGGGGAACATACCTTAATATAAAAAAGGCCACATATGAAAATCCCATTAGGTAATATTGTCTTCACTGGGGAAAAACAAAGCTTTTCCTTTCTGGTCAGAAAAAAAACAGGGGTGTCCACTGTGACCACTGTTACAGAGTACTGGAAGTCCTAGCTGCAGTAGTCAGACAACAAAGAGAAATAAAAGGCATCCATACTGGCAAGGAGGAAGTCAAACTTCCACTATTTATAGATGACATGATACTTTATATAGAAAACCCAAAAGACGCCACCCAAAATTGCTAGAACCGATACATGAATTCAGTAAAGTTGCAGGAAACAAAACCAATGTACAGAAATCTGTGGCATTTCTATGCACCAGTAATGAAACAGCAGAAAGAGAAATCAAGGACTTGATCCCATTTACAATTGCACTAAAAACTGTAAGATACCTAGTAATAAACCTAACCAAAGAGGTAAAAGAAACTGTATTCTGAAAACTATAGAACACTTAATTATGGGATTAAAGAAGACACAAATAAAAAGGCATTCCATTCTTACGGATTAGAAGAACAAACATTGTTAAAATGTCTATATTACCCAAAGCAGTTTACACATTTGATGCAGTTCCTATCACAATACCACCAGCATTTTTCACAGAGCCAGAAGGAACAATCTTGAAATTTGTATGGAACCCATAAAAGACCCTAAAAAGACAAAGCAACTTTGAAAAAGAAAAGCAAGATTTATTTTAAGTAATCTCTATATGCGCCATAGGGCTTGAATTATAACCCCCATGTCAAGAGTCTCATGCTCTACTGACTGAGCTAGCCAGGTCCCCTGGTATTAAGTTTTTTGAAATGTTCAATAAAATTCACCTGTGAATCCATCTGATCCTGGACTTCTATTCCTTTTTTTTTTTTTTTTTTAAGATTTTATTTATTTGACAGAGATCACAAGTAGGCAGAGAGGCAGGCAGAGGTGTGTGTGGGGGCGGGAACAGGCTCCCTGCTGAGCAGAGAGCCCAGTGTGGGGCTCCATCCCAGGACCCTGGGATCATGACCTGAGCTGAAGGCAGAGGCTTAACCCTCTGAGCCACCCAGGCAACCCAGTTTTTTGTTTTTTTTTTTAAATTACTGATTCAATTTCATGACTTGGAGTCTATTCACATTTTTTATTTTCTGGGTTTGGTTTTGGAAGATTGTGTGTTTCTGGGAGTTTATTCATTTCTTCTAGGTTGTCCAATTTGTTGGCATATACCTTTTTGTAGTATTCTCTTATACTTTGTATTTTTGTGGTGTCCCTTGTTATTTCTCCTCTCCATGATCTTATTTATTTGGATGCTTTCTCCTTCTTTCTTGATTAGTCTGGCTAAGAGTTTATCCATTTTGTTTATCTTTTCAAAGAACCACCTCTTGGTTTTATTGATTTTTCTCTATTGTTTTTTAGTCTCTATGTCATTTATTTCTGCTCTGTTTTTTTTTTTTTTTCATCTGCTTTGTTTTTACTTTTTATTTTTGAGAGGGAAGTTTTTTTTATTAAAGTGAAATTTAAAAACTTTTCTTCGTTAAGTTAAAGATGTTTGACAGAGGAGGAGAGTCACAGGATGACAGAGGGAAGTCAGCTCCTGTCCTATCCTCTTCAGGACCCAAATCTCCAGGGAGGTTACACAGCCATATCCCTCTCGTGTTCCCATCCGTCACAACACTCTGAGAATCCGCCCAGAGGAAGCTGTATCTGCTTTTGCAGGGTGTAAAAATCATCATGAAAATAACTTTGCCCAAACCCTGTTGAAAATTTTATCTGATAAATGTGCTTCTTTGGGGGAGGCTAGTCTGAAAGACGAGTAAAGATGCAGCTAGATAATTAAAACAGCTTTTGGGTTTACTAGCCATGTAACTGTCAGGCTTTTTAGGGGTCTCCTAAAACGGCTCTGCCCCGCCATTCCACTGCAGCGAGAGGGGCCATGTCACACTCACACGGCCTGCTCCTCCAGCTCCCCTCCGATGCACTGGGACATGTTCTTCAGCACCCCGATGCTGCCAGAGACCAGCTCCAACTGCTCATCCTGCTGTTCCACGATCAACTGTTGCTGCGCCTGCTGCTCCTCAATGAAATGGGAGTTGGCTAACTGAAGCTCGCGATCGAGGCACCCGTATTTGTCTGTCGTTCCCGTGCTCCAGTTCTGGCCACCACTGTCCCCGAGGAGTGCCTGTCTATTTTTTCGTTCTGCTAATGCCTGCACAGATGCAGCCAACATCTGATCCTTCATGTTCCTGACAACTTGCCGAGTACTTGTGATGAAGGTTTTTCTTATACTCAATTCAGTTGCATCGAGGTTGAATTTTCTAGGATTTGCTTCAACTATGCTGATGGTCTCGTCAAGGTCCTCGAGATCCCACTCTATGCTCCGGAGGTTGTTCCTCAGCTCATTGGTGGTCCAGTCGATTTCCTCCCTCGTTGCCGTAGAGGGGTCCTGGAGGAGCTCTGTCCATCTCTGAAATAATCCCTGGGCAATGTTGACTGCTTTCTGTACCTCTCCTTTCACCACAAAGAAGGGGTCCTCCATGGACATGGCGTCCCGGAGCCCGGCTGCCTCACGCCCGCTCCGTGCACAGGGCGCCCGCGCCCTCCGAACCTCCTCCTGCCCACCCCACTGGTCTGCCGCAGCCGCCGGGGCCTCGGCCGGAGGAACCCAGAGCAGCTGGCGCGCGGAGGCCGGGGCGCACGGGACCGCCACCGGTCCAGCACTCGATGGCCCCGCAGACCGAACCCCGCTCTGCTCTGGTTTTTATTATTCCTTCCTTCTACTTACCTTGGGTTTTGTTCTTTTTGTAGATCTTTTAGTTATAAGGTTAGATTATTTGAACTTTTTCTTGTTTCTTGAGGTAGGCCTGCATTGTTACACATTTCCCTCAGAAATGTTGTCACCATGTCCCAAAGATTTTGGGCCATTTTGTTTAAATTTTCATTTGTCTCCATTATTTTTTTATTTCTTTGATTGCTTCATTGACCTATTGTTATTTAGTATTACATTGTTTTAGTCTCCACATGTTTGTGCTTTTTCTGAGTTTTTCCTTATGATTTATTTTTAGTTTCATACTGCTGTGATAGCAAAAGATATATGGTATAATTTCAGTCTTCTTAAATTTATTGAGGTTTGTTTTATGGCCTAATATGTGTTATCCTTTGGAGAATGTTCTATGTTCACTTGAAAAGAATGTATATTCTGTTGTTTTGGGATGGAATGTTCTGTATATATCTGTATGGCCACTGGTCTACTGTGTCATTGACAGATAGGTTTCCTTTTTGATTTTCTGCCTGCATAATCTATCCATTGATATAAGTGGATGTTAAAATTCTTTACTATTACCGTATTGCCATCATTTTCACTCTTTATGTCTATTAATATTTGAATTATGGAATTATGAATTTATGTGCTCCAGTGTTGAGTACATTGATATTTAAAATTGTTATGTCTTCTTATAAAGTTGATCACTCCATCATTATGTAATGCCCATATCTCTTGTTACAGTGCTTGTTTTAAAGTTTATTTTGTCTGATTAAGTATTGCTACTCTGGCTTTTTTTAAATTTTAAGTTCCATTTGTATTTTAAATATTTTTCTATCCCTTCACTTTCAAACTCTTTGTATCTTTAGGTCTGAGATGAATCTTTTATAGGTAATGGAGAGATGGGTCTTGGTTTTTTAATGCATTCTGCCATTCTGTGTCTTTTGATTAGAACATTTAGGCCATTTTTTAAAAATATTTATTTATTTGAGAGAGATCACAAGTAGGCAGAGAGGCAGGCAGAGGGAGGGGGGGAAGCAGGCTTCCTGCTGAGCAGAGAGCCCCATGTGGGGCTAGATCCCAGGACCCTGAGACCATGACCTTAGCCGGCGGCAGAGGCCTAACCCACTGAGCCACCCAGGTGCCCCTAGGCCATTTATGTTTAAAGTAATTATTGATAGGTACATACTTATTGCCATTTTAAAATTTGTTTTCTGGTTGTTTTTGTTTCTGGTTCTAGTTCTTTTTTGTTCCTTTTTTCTCTTGATCTCTTGTGTCTTTTTTTTCTTTCTCTTTATTTCTATGTATCTATCATAGGTTTTGGTCTTTTGGTTACTATGGGTTTCGTATATAGCATACTGAATAAATAGCAGTCTATATTAATTTGATGGCCTTTTAAGTTCAAACATAATTTACAAAAAGAAATACAGAAAAAAAAATCCTTTGTTTTCCTTCTTTTATTCTTCCCCCTTTTAAATTTTTAGCCCCTCTTCCATGTTTTATGTATATTTTGTCATATTTTACAAATTTCATTTATAATTTTTTACAAGATTTTATTTATTTATTTGACAGAGAGACAATGAGAGAGGCAACACAAGCAGGGGGAGTGGGAGAAGGAGAAACAGGGTTACCACTGAGCAGGGAGCCTAATGCAGGGCTTGATCCCGGGACCTTGGGATCATGACCTGAGCCGAAGGCAGATGCTTAATTACTGAGGCACCCAGGCACTGCTCATTCATAATTTTCTTATGTCTAAGTATGGGTATTTCTTTTCCACTTAAAGAAGTCCCTGTAAATTTTCTTGTAAGGCTGGCTTAGTGGTGATAAACTCCTCTATATTTTGTTTGTTTGGGAAAATCTTTATCTCTCCTTCAAATTTGAATGTGAATCTTGATGGTTGGAGTATTCTTGGTTGTAGGGTTTTTTTTTTTTTTTTCTTTCATCACTTCATTATATCATGCCACTTTCTTCTGGCTGCAAAGTGTTTGCTGAAAAATTCTCTTGATAGCCTTATAGGTTTTCCCTGGCAACTTTTTGTTTTTCTGGCTGCTTATAAGGTTCTCACTCTGTCTTTAACTTAATTATTACATGTCATGGTATGGACCTTCTTTGATTAATCTTATTTAGAATTCTGTGTGCTTCTTGGACTTGGATGTCTGTTTCCTTCCCTACGTTAGGGACATTTTCAGCTATTATTTCTTCAAATAAGTTTTTTACCCCTTTCTCTCTTCTCCCTCTGGGACCTATATAAAGCAAGTGTTCACTTGATGTTGTCCCAGAGATCCCTTAACCTATTCTCATTTTTAAAATTCTTCTTTCCTCTTCCTGTGGTTTCCATTACTCTCTCTTTCAGACTGAGATATGTTTTTCTGCATCTGCTAATCTATTATTGATTCCCCGTAGTGTGTTTTTAAAAAATTTCAGTTACTGTATTCTTCAAATTTGATTGGCTCTTTTCTATACTTTCTATCTCTTTATTGAAGGTCTCACTGCGTATTTCCACTCTTCTCTCCAGCCCAGTGAGTATCTTCACAGTCATTACTTTATATTCTTTATCAGGCTTATTGTTTATCTCCTTTTTCATTTAGTTCTCTTTCTGAGGTTTTTTTTTTTCCCTTTCTTCCTTCTTCTTCTTCTCCTTGTCCTTCCTGTTCTTTGCACGTTCTTCTCTCTCCCCATTTTGCTTGATTTTCTGTGTTTGGTTCTGTGGATTAGGCAGAACAGTTACTTCTAAATGTCCAAGGAAGGGTCTTGTGTTTGATTGTGTCCTTTGTGGACCATGTGTGCTTGGTGACTTTAGCTGGCTGGCTAGGGCAGTGGCTGGCATGAGGTGGGGGTCTGTGGGCTTTCGACATAGTGAGCATCTGCCAGGATAGCTAAAGCTGAAGGGGTGCAAGCCAGGGTGTCCCAGGGAGCTTTCTACAGGGGTTGATTTGGCAGAGTGACTGGAATTGATGCACTGTGTGGGCAAGGAGTGCCCTGAACTCTCTGTGTGGAAGATGCCTTGGCAGGATAGCTGAGCCTAGAGTGGTGCAAGCCAGGGTGGCCTGGGGCTCTCCACACAGAGAGCAACTTGGTAGGATAGCTGAAGCTGAAGTGGATATAAACCACGGTGTTTCTGGACTCTCTGTGCAGAGGATACCCTGATAGGCATCTTGAGCTGAGGTGCATTATAGGCCAGGAGGTCCTGGGGTGCTTTATGTAGGAGGGAACCTCCTATGACAGGTAAAACTAGAATGTGCAAGGACTGGTTTGAAAGTTCCTGGGTTCTACACACAAAATGTGCCCTGGCAGGATAGCTGAAGCTGAACTGGGTACAAGCTGGGTACAATCTTTTAAACCATAGCTTTTTAAAATTTTCGAGTTCATAGTGGGTACTGGCCAGGTGACTAGAGCCTAGGCCGGCATGGGCATGAATGTTCCAGGTGCTTCACACAGGGGGTGCCCCAGTGAAGTAGCTGAAACTGATGCAGGCATGGACCTGGGGTTCTCAGGGTACTGTGCACGGGGGTTACCCTCACAGGATGGCCAGATCTGAAGACGGCAACTGAAAGGTTCCAGTGCATTCTGCACTGAGGTGACCTAGCAAGCCTTCTGAAGCTGAAGTGCTGTGAGCCTGGAGTGTTTGGGGGAAGCTTTGCACCTGTGTCAACTTGGTGTCAATCCTGTGGCTGCAGTGAACACTGACCAAGGGTGTTACAGTGTGCACTGCCCTGTGGGTGCCCTTGTGGGATGGCTGGTGCTGGTGTGGGTTAGGGGTTGGGGCTCACTCAGGCTGGTTAGTGTACCCAGACTGGCCTGTGCTTTGAAGGTGAAGGGAGAGTGCAGACCATGTCTGTTAGAACCTCCCATTGGGTGACAATTCCAGCAGCTCCCCCACTGTCTTGCAGAATTCCAAGGCTTATTCTTCTATATTCTTCTAAGGCATATACTCTTCTATATGCTAGTTGATCTTTTAAACCATAGCTTTTTAAAATTTTCTTTCTTTTTTTTTTCAAAGAATGTATTTATTTGTTTGACAGAGAGAGACCCAGTGAGAGAGGGAATGCAAGCAGGGGGAGTAAGAGAGGGAGAAGCAGGATCCCTGCAGAGCAGGGAGCCCGAGGTGGGGCTCGATCCCAAGACCTGGGATCATGACCGGAGATGAAGGCAGATGCTCAACTGACTGAGCCACCCAGGCGCCCCTAAAATTTTCAATATTTAATTAATTTATTTTAATTCCAGGGTAATTAGCATACAGTGTTATATTAGTTTTAGGTATACAGCATTAGTTTTGGGTGTACAGATTCAGCATTTCCATAAACTACTCAGTGGTCATCAAAAGAAATGTAATCTTGGGGTGCCTGGGTGGCTCAGTGGGTTAAAGCCTCTGCCTTCGGCTCAGGTCGTGATCCTGGGGTCCTGGGAATCGAGCCCCGCGTCAGGCTCTCTGCTCCATGGGGAGCCTGCTTCCTCCTCTCTCTCTCTGCCTGCCTCTCTGCCTACTTGTGATCTCTGTCTGTCAAATAAATAAAAATCTTTTAAAAAAATTAAAAAAAAAAAAGAAATGTAATCTTAATCCCCTTCATCTGTCTCCCTACCTGCCTCTTCTCTGGTAACCAACTATTTGGTCTCAACTAACAGTTGTCTGTTTTTTTTGTTCATTTGTTTTGGTTTGTCTCTTTTTTTCCCCTTTGTTCTTTGTTTCCTAAACTCCACATATAATGAAACTTTATTTTTCTTTCTCTGACTGGCTTATTTCTTTTACCTTTATACTCTAGCTCTGTCCATGTTATTACAAATGGAAAGATTACAATTTTTTTAAGTTTTTATTTAAATTACAGTTAGTTAACATACGGTGTAATATTGTACATTTTAGTGATCTGGCACATGAAACACCTTGTGCTCATCACAAGTGCCCGTAATCCCCATTACCT